CCCCCCCCACCTAACCCTCGCCTAACCCTAATCGTAACCCAAACCCTAACCCTAACCCTCACCGAATCCTATTATATCTGTGTTATAAACACAAACACTTGTTATCTGTGTTCGACTGCTTTGGAAAACAGAAATCACCTTTTCTTTACCTGCTCCTTTTCAAGAGAAGTGTGGTTATCTATAATGGAATGGCTTAAGTTTGAATGGCAAGCCTGTGAGTGGAATACACTGATGGATTGGTTTTCTACCAAATTAAGAGGAAATGGCTTCAAGCAGAATTTGAAGAGGATGGCAATTTCGGCGGCTATATATAGTGTCTGGAGGGAGAGGAATCTCAGGTGTTTTCAGCAGAAATCAAGAACAGCAATCCAAGTGGTTAGGAATATCAAAATTGATATCTTAACCATTTACATGAACAATTCCATTACAGCGGTAAATAGAGACTGGTTTTTATCTTTGTAAGGTTGGTTAGATAAGTTGATGTTTTTTTTGTTAGTTTTCTCTCTGAAGAGATCTTGATGTGAATAACTGTTTCAATTTGGTGAATGAAATAAAATTAATTCATTGACAAAAAAAAGACGGTCATTTATGTACTATCAAACTTTCTTATGCCAAAAATAACTTCAGTCTGCTTTTTAAGCATCTCACCTGATCATGAATCTCATGACCAGAGCAAAGTACTATTCCTCATCAACCTGCACATCCAATACCACAGCCAAAAAAAAAAACACAGAAATGCACAAATTAAATCTCTACCTGCACTAGAACCAGAAACAAATGTTTAATATGCAGTCCACAATCTCTTAGCAGGAAAATCCAGTCTGTATATATAACCTGAGATTTCCTTCCTCCATATAACTTGTATCATAGGCACTTCAAAACTAATTAGTTGCATAACTTAGATCCAAATCAAGTTGCCAGGGAAAAAAAACTATATGTAATTAAAATTAAAGATTATATGGCCTCCTGCTTCTTTAAAGACTCGAAACTTTCGTCGTCCAAAGCCATGAAACTCTCTACGTAGAAGCTGACCCCGAAGAAGCTGCCCTCCCCACTAAAGATCGTCGCTTCAACTCGTTCTTCCACTGGGTTGTAGACCTGCAGCTTGCCGTCGCACCTCTCCAACAGCGCTCTTCCATCCTTCTCCGCGTGGACGACGCAGAACTGATGAGGATAGCAGCAGCGACAGCAGCCACAGATCGACCCTCGATCGCCCCGAGCACTCCATGCACAGCGATCCGCCCAGCCGCGTCAGGCGAAAGAAGCACGCCCCGTCACGAGAGTCCTGTGAGAAATGTCTTACGCCGGGCAGCGGTAGCTCTGACCATTCCTCCCTCTTGAGATCAAACCGGGCTATTGTCTCGTTGTCGTCGTCGTGCAGGTCATCGACAGCCAGCCGCTCTGTAAAAATATCTGGCAGGAAATGGACGGCTTCATCGACGACGTCGTCGTCGCGCAGGTCATCGACAGCCATCCCCCATTTAAAAATAACTGGCAGGAAATGGACGGCTTCGTCGACGACGGCCGAGTTCTCGTCATGAACCCAAAAGGGAGGGCCCTCCTTGATGTCCCTCCATCTCCCTGACCCAAGGGTGAAGACCTCACTTCTTCTGATTGGGTGCTGGAGACTGAAGAAAGGAGACGCACCGAACACACGGAGCACCTTGTATTCCCCTGTAGAAGGAAGGTAAGCGAATGCCACCGCGTGGCCGCCGTGCTCGGGAAACCCCGAAGATTTCCTGGGCAAAGCGATCTGCTCCCTGGTCGCAGGGTTCCGGATGTAGATGTCATCGGGATCGTACATGCAGACGAGGTCGAGGCTGCCACAGGAGGAGACGAGCCTCCTGTTGACGTTTTCACAGTCTAGTAGGGCTGTGGTGCGGTCTGGTAGGGCTTTCCCTCCTCCTCCTCTGCTTTCGGAGGTCGCCACGAGGAGGAGAGGGTTCCGTTCGGATCGGCGGCGGTGGGACGACCTGAAGGAGGGGCTGGAGATGAGGGAGAGCCATGATTTGGACACCAGTTTGAGACGCGAGAGGGTCTTCACGGGGAGGAGGAGGAGGATGTCGGAGACTACGTCGAGAGGGAGGGACGGCGGGTTCGACGAGTATAGTTCGTTGCTGGTTTCAGAGGCGGCGGCCATGTTAGTTAGTTAGATATCAGCCAGTTGGAGGAGTTTACTTGGGGCTTCGTTGAAATAGGTTACGACTTTTCCCCTGACCATGGTCTTTGCTAATATATAAACATGGTGATGGCTGTTGAGAAACCTAAGTGACAAATAAAAAATGTGTGAAACCAAGTACACGACAAATGAAAGATGCGTGAGTCGTGTGACATGTCATTTTGGTGTTTACCATGGCAATAGTAATATAAGCATGAAGCGGAGTAGAGTTAAGCAAATTTTACATGGTACACACATGCATGGAATCATCCATCATCCGCATCTTATATATGTTAGTAATTGGTTCGAATTGAACATTATCATATCAAAAACGCGAAACTTCATAAGTCAATTACACACTGACTAA